TCGCAATACCTTTGCGTTCCCTCGCAATACCTTTGCGTTCCCTCGCAATACCTTTGCGTTCCCTCGCAATACTTTTGCGTTCCCACGCAATACCTTTGCGTTCCCTCGCAAAATTGTTTTGTGTTCCTATGCAAAAGTTTCATTTGTTTATGAACTGAATYAAATCAGACTTTTATTTTGAAATATCCGGTTACCAAAACAAGATGTGTCGCCACAAGTTCTTGAAATTGACATTGATGTTGCGTGGCTGCACTGTGTTAAAATATTGGCATATGACGTACTTCTATGTGTGGTTGTGTGATATATTCATTCTGAAGCTGAATTAAAGCAGTAGGCTAACTCGCTAATGGTGAACAGGTGAGTTTGTTAATAAACCAGCAGGCACAACAGTGTTTAACGACTTTTGCGAGGGAACGTAAAAGGTATGGCGAGGTAACGCAATACTTTTGCGTAGGAACGCAAAAAGAAAAAAAATCCCCCATGTCACCTCGCGGGCTCAGTACTGACCAGCTCTGACTTCATAATCCAAAATAATCAGCATAATTAAAAACAAACTTTTTTTTGTAATTTTATCTGCATTTTTTTGTGTTTTCAGCCAAAAAAAAGGGGCAAATTTTTGGTGTACTTACTTTACAAGAACACACACAACAGCCAGCACTATGATTAAAACCAGAAGAGCCCCCAACAATCCCAGGAGGATGGCCAACAAATCTGCAAAAAGACAAACGAACAGGAAATTAAATTTGAGTTTGTGAGGGTGAGGATGTTGGGCTAAACGATGAACTTACGGGTCTTTTTCTGAAGAACGATTTGGGTCGTGGCGGCAAAGTGGCCCGTCTCTGGTTCGCAGTTGGACATGTTCAGGTAGAAACTCTGTGGGACCGTGAAGTCCTCTATCGGCATTTCGGCTTCGCTGCGGCTGATGAGCTCTTCCACGCCGTCCAGCTCCTTCACGCGGATAAACGTGTGCGTCTCCTCGCATTTGGGCTGGCTGATGTTGACGAAGCGGAGCTGCGCTTTGTACTGACTGGGAAAGGTGACGATCCAGGACACGGTGGAGAAAGACTTCATGCCCTGAGGCCAGTTGGGGGTGGTCAGCAGGGTGGGGGCCGTCGTCGTCGGGCTGACTCTGTAGATGATGGTTTCTGAACAGGAAGTGATAAAAGTGTCTGTGTTTTAGCATGAGCTAATGTTTAAATATATACTGTATAAAAAAAAGAGAAAGACGCTGAGGTACAATGGAGGATAAAACAGGACTTTTGCAAATAACCACAAGTATATTTTGTTGCAACAGAAAGAACTGCMTTTTTTTGAAAAATTTTGTACTAAAACCATTGACCTACTATTTTAAGCAATGCGCTTTTATTTTGAATGTGTACTTCCTGTTTAGCGTAGTTCGTTGTATAACAGCAACAGGAAAATATGAAATATACAAATAGAAACAGAGCCTTGCAAGAAGTCAAACGATGTTAGCTAATAAGTCACATGTTTGTATGTGTTTCAGCTTATAGTGATTATGTTGGATATATGGATTTACTCAGAGCYGGCTCTTGGCATAGGCGAACTAGGCGGTCGCATAGATCGCCATCTGCTGGAGGGGACACCAAACTGCAGAAAAAAGTTATTATTTGTAATCCCTAGTTGTAACTCTGCTCAGCGCCCCTTTCAATTAGCTTTGTCATAACAAACAATAATGAAGTATTACAGGAAAAATAAACTACTCCTACTACTAATCCTGCTGACATCCATTCTGACACAGTGAGGACTGAGTTTGTCAGCCGAGGACCTTATGAGGTAAAATCAGACTTATATTTTCCAAAAAGAGAGGACCTTTTAAATCTTTGTACAAATTGTGAACAGGGTCTTTTGTTTACCCTTGTCATTTGATTTAATTATATTTACTTTATTTATTCATTTAATTTGTTGTGTGATGTATGTTTATGTTTAAAGCAAATAAATCTAAGTTTACCATGTTAAACTAGTGGGGTGGGGTGGTGTGTGTGTGTG